GATCCGAAAAGAAGAGTGAAAGGACCCAAGACCACAAAGAAAGGGAGGGATCATTAGAAGAGAGCACCTTAGTACAACTACTCAGAGGGAATAAGCACATCACGGTAGAGATCAAACAGCTCACCAAATGGACCGGGGATGCAGAAGGAACAAGGGGACAGGCTCCCTGCTATTCGACCAGGGTGCCATGAGGCACAACCTCAATCATTGGACACCTGGCGGTATGCCCTTACGGCAGAACGGCATCGAGGAAGCCCCGGACACCCCAACGGGATCAGTCCTCCGAACCCCGGTCAGGTCAGCCCCTCCCATCCCAATCCCAATCAGCTTGTTGGCCGAGTTCCCAAGACAAGCTCCTGTCACCCCAATGGGAGCAGCCCGCCGCATCCCAATCACGTCAGCACCCCCCATCCCAATCCCAATCAGCCTGTTGGTCGAGCCTCCAAGACACCAAGATGGTCAGAAAAGGAGTGGGCGGGCAAGGGAGCTCAGATCAGGCACACATTGTGGAAAAACTGAAAGAGGACGAAGTGAACGACCACAAGATGTATGCTCAAGAAGAAGAAGGGGGGGAAGAGTCAGAGATGGAGGAGGATGGGGGCGAGGAGGAGAAGGAGATGTTGACAGAGGAAGAGAGAAAAGAAAAGAAGCAACAAGATAACACCGCCCTGGTGAAAGGGAAAGCTGTGGAGGGGGGGACTAAAACCTCATGGGCCCAGAGAGTCATAGGCACAATCCAAGAAAAGACTCTCGATATCAAACGGCCCTCCCCGGGTGCCCCACATGGAAACGAAGAGACCCTAAAGGTACCCCTCAGGAACCTGTCATTGGCGCGGGCCTACTTCCTCACCCTCTTCCTCCTCCCGTCGGCAAAACAAGTGGTGGACCAAGGAGGGAGGAAGACCATGATGAGAACATATCCGAAAAACAAAATTGAGGCTAGAGACGAAGTGTATGTGAAACATGCGAGCAACTGGCTGTTCCACGGGGACGTGGCGCACAGATCTGTCAACGACAAGATTAAGTGGATTTGCAGATGCCTAGAGGAGATGAAGGGCAGCCCGGAGGCTGTCCAAGAATTCTTTCTTATCCAACCTCTCTCCTCAACCGTGTTCACAGTTCTTAGTCTTTTCACTTAGGACAAGCAGAGAATGGATGGGTGGAAAAAAATAAGATGGGAAAGGTCCGACGTGCGCATCTACCCGTGGCAGACAAAGAAATTGAGTCCGGAAGAAAAGAGAGAACAACTTATGAAGGACTTCTACTGGGTGGAACTGAGACACATCCCCGTGGAAGTACAGGCAGTGTTTGTCTACGACTTCGGGCAACAATACAATATCGTGGACTTTATTGATCCACTCCTGTCCTTTGTGGCGAAACGAGATGACTACCTGATGTTGGCACTGAATCTCCCCAAGGACCAAATTTTCTCAATAGATGACATAGTCCCCTACAGGATGGGAGGAAAGGTATACCAAATACATACAGCCCACAAATTCAGACCATGGTACTTTAAATGTAGGGCGTATGGACATCTGAGTACAGAGTCAGCCTGCCCGCAACACCCCAACAAGAAAAACACGGCGGGAGGCCGCCTGCAACGGGACCCACGTAGAACCAACAGATGGTACACAGCGGACCTGTGCCATGAAGGATGGGTTTACCTAGAAGATCTAGACCCCAGGGGACAACCCTAAGGATGGACATGGGAGGGGCGAGGAGACCCCTGCAGAGCCACCTGGCCACCGAACGAATGGACCCCGTCCCCGTCAAAGGGGCCAGAGAAGACGGGAAAGCCTCTACCCAACCCCACAGCCCAGGACAACGATGTGCTGCCCCTGCCCCCCCAAGACAGAGACAAACCAAACCCGGAAAAAACTGCAGAAACGCAGTTGCAATCGAGTGGGAAGCAACCCCGTGAGAAACAAAAACGACAGAAGTGGGGGCCGGCGACAATGGAATACATTCCAACGGGGAGACTGTGGTCAGACAAAAAGGAGATACAGGGGCAGCAAGGGGAGTCCAACTCCTCAAATGAGTCAATGCCTCGGACGACAGCGAACCAGAAAAGGAGCCAGGAAGGAGGAGGGGACCAAAACGTGCAGGAACTCTTGAAAGAGGCCTTCAAACCTGTGCCAATGGAAGTGGAAACACCTCCGGGGACCCCCCCGCCCCCCCCACCGCCGGAGGTGGAAATGTCAGATGCACAAGACCAGTATGAAGAAGACGCCTCAAAAACGGCAGGCTCTGAAGAAAACAAGGACGACAGGACGCAGGGGGTGGGCCTGCAGGAAGTGGCAGACTGGCTTATGGACGGCCTGCACAGAAAGTACGGTGATGAAGATGTAGAATTTTGGGACAAGGTCTACAGGGACCTGTTCCCACTGCTGGAGAGCAGCGAAAGTCTCCACAAAGCCATAAAGGAGGGTCTGCCAGACGGGGCGGAGTGGCCTGATGTTTGCCACAAAATACTCCACATAGTCCTCACTCGATTTCACCCCCCGACCCCAGATATGAGCAGCACTCCCTCGACCTCGAAGGAGGGAACGGACCACACAAAGCCAGACAAAAAAACTCGGCCGCCTCAAGAAAAGACCCCGATGGGAATTGAGGAGGGGACGAGCCAATCGGAAAAATCCGACGGTTTGGAAAAAGGGGCAAGGGAGGAGGGGGAACTACACAAACAGGCGGGACAGCAAGAAGGGAAGGGTAGGGAGGGTCAGCAAGAACAGGCGCAGCACGCGAAGGAACATACTACGGGAACACGAGGGGAAGGGACGAAGCAAAAAGAACAGAAAACGGGGACCCAGGGATCAGGGGTCACTACAACAATGGAAGAAGGGAACAAAAAAGGTGGGCAACAGAAAGGAGCATAATACGAAAACAGCCAAAAAGCAGCAAGAGAGGAGGGGGGGTTCACGGACAGGCGGAACAGCAAAGGAGGAACGATAGGGAGGGACACCAAGGGCCGGCACACCACGGACAAAGGGAAAAATGGAATAAAAAAGGCG